AAATGGTCAGCGTAACGAGCTCTCCAAAACTCTACAGACGAAAACATCTTCTGAGAACCTTGTGTTTTTTGCGGATGACTACCCGTGAAACTATCCATGAAAAATACGATTCGCAAGTATTTTGTTGTTGATACTGTATTTCAAGGTCTTCAAACCACCTGTATTATTTGTTTGATTCAGTTTTAATGATATATTTTGATGTGCTATTAAATATTCTGGTGGAATACGATCTTTTTATATATAAGACATTTCGAGCATATCGATCGTATTTTTTAAAGAGAAGAATATTCGAAGTGACAAATGCTATAAAAAGATAAGAGATTTACACCTATGATGCATTCGGCAATGACTGACATTTCTCTACACGTTTGGTATCACTAGATAACGTACCAAATGAGATGAAGCATAATTAATCGTCTGCATTTTTTCATTTCATTTAGTCGTCAGTAATGCACACAGATTGATCCGTCGTCGTATATACCATTGATCAACTTATTCATTATCAGTCTCTTCGATTTAATTTCTTATACACGGATACTAAATATATATCTTTAAAAATATACAAATGAATAAAATGATTCGATTAGAAGACTATCTATTCTCTCTTCAGTTCATCTTCGTATTGTTGTTTCGTTATTTTATTGTGGTCATCAAATGAAAAGTTTTTCTTCATATGTCAAGGACCATGCACATTAACGTGGTTTTGCTTTGTCTTGAGAATTCCATTTGTGACTTTTCATTCGCCATTTCTTTCTTTTTTTACTAGACATAAATTTATAAATCTTGAGTTATGTACATGTTACTCATATTATTCGTCAGTTCGACTACAAAATGTTATTCAACAACTAGACAGTCTCACTAAACTTAATTAGATCATTTCGATTAATCATAGCAAACTACATAGAGTTTTTGTGAAACAGAAATGCAGTGTTCGAGTCAAACTATTTTAACACACAAATCAAATACACATCACTCAATCAGGCTTGCATTTTACTGTAATCATTCTCATTTAACAACTGCTAGTATTCTTAAGTGGGACTTAGCATTACTGACTATGATTTACCGTATTTCGTTATCAATTTATTATGCTCTACATGTGCTTCAAATTTTACTGTGTATTGCGACGTCTCGATGTGCACATGTATCAATTCCTAGTACGCCGAATATTCAACATCCATAGTAAGTTTTTGAAAAATAATGTAGCATTCGTTATTATTTAGTTTGAAATTCATGCAAGGATCACATATAACGGACTAGCTTTGCAAAAACAAAATTCTTTTCAATATTACTTTTAATAATTGCATGGATGTCTTTGGATGAGATTGTATTCTAGTAGTTGAAAAAAAGAATATTTTTTTCTTTTAGATTTGTACTAATTAGTTTCATTGCTTTTGTTCTTAATTTTCATTACTCGTAGATGAACATTGGCTGTTATTAAATAACTATATGCATGTCTTGATAAATCTCAACAAATTTTAATTTATTGACAGTTAAAATGTTAATTTTTCAAAAAACAAGGCACATAGCTTTTGAAACTAACTTTTTTCATTCAACACATAATGAGATGTTGACAAAAGAGTCCGCTTTCCATAATTTTTTCATTGGAGACTACAAAAATTATAAAAAAAAAAAACTCATTAACTTTTACTAAGCGTTGATCAAAAGATCTAATACCATTAAATAATAATATAAAGATAAGAAGATATTTTTAATTTTATTTTATCAAAGGTTTAGGATAATTGTCATGATTATTTCTACCAAGTTTGATCCTTTCTAAAAATTTGTTGAAAGTTTTTTTTCCAATTATTTTTCTAACAAATTTTTAGCTACCTTGGAAACCGTGTATGAGTTAATCATATTTCATTTGTTATAAAATTTAGCGAATTTGTTGTTAGATCATGTGAGTTGCATTCTAGCAGTACCAATGATGGAATATTGAATTATTTTAGATAGATACGCCATAAGTCATTTGATACTAGCTGGCTTATTGGAGATGAATCGTCAAAGACTATTGTTTTTGAAGACAGATTTGAACCAAAATTTGTCCGGTATATTGTTTAAATCAAATAATTCTGTGTGTAGATAAAGGCAAGATTGTAGGTCATAAGTATTATATTGAAAAATATTCGAAGCCTTTTGTTAATGAAACTATTCAAAACGTACAAAACTGGTTGGCGATCGTAGTTGACTTCATCCTCATGCGATGTTACTAATTATGCGACAGAAGAAGACATCAATATAATGTTACATCCGCCGTCATCATCAGACCTGACACTATGTAATCTTTGACTAAGTAATTCTATTGAACGTATTTTAACTGATTATATAAATGAAAGAGAACGTGTTCATGCGGTTTCCAAGGTAGCTAAACCTTTTTTAGAAAAATAATTAAAAAAAGCTTTAAACAAACTGTTAGAAAGGATCAAACTTGGTAGAAATAATCATGGTAATTACCTTGAACATTTCATAAAATAAATTGAAAAAATCTCCTTATCTTTATATTATTATTTAATGCTATCAGAACTTTTGGTTAACCTTAAATATGATGGATGGATTATTACTTTATCCAGTGAGTAGTGTTTTACGAGCGACGATATTGATAAATCTCTTCACATTACATTTCATCCTTGACTACTATTTTTAGTCAGAATTTGTACTAATGACTTCACTATCCAGCTTCATAAAAAGAACTATTCAATTTGAAATTTTGCACTATATAAATATCTTTAATATATTAAAACGAATAGTAGTTCATTCTGTACTAGGGGGTGACATATATTAACAGAGTACTCGATAATTATTCTTGATTTTTGTCATAATCTCATCTTCGCATCTCAAAGAAATTATTTTTACAAAAAATACAACGAAATCAAATTAAATAAAGATGTAACTACATCTGTTACAATATAGAATGTAAATATAATCTGATTTACTTGTAGTTATATGGGGCGATATTTGAGCTTTACCGATCACAAAATATTGAAAAAACAAACATTGTGATTTTGATTTCTCTACTAGAAAAATCATCTTATGATATAACGATCAATTATAAAATTTAATCAAAAAGCTTTCGACACCAAGTAGTGCAAGTTTACAGAGAATTTGCAAAAAAAAACATTATGGGAAATATTTTCAAAAAGTGTTTAGAGATTCAAATATCCTGATTCGAAAACGTTGAATCCAACGTTATAAAAAAATCTTGTTTTCGCAAAATAGTTTTTTCTTAATGAAAAAAACAAAATCACAAATTTTTCGTTACCTGCTACACGGTAACCGATAATGAAGCGATTAGTGAGCTCTCTAGTACTTATGCAAGTTTAATATTAACATTTTTATGTATAAATCGTTAAAAAGCAGTCATACTTGTCATTTCATAAGTGATCTTGCTTTTATAGAACTATTTCTATTGCGCTACGGCTATCTATAGCCTTACAAGCGACAAAATCATGTATAGTAATAAGGAAGAAAAATTGAACTAATTGAAACCTGTATTCAGTAGGCATTTGCACTTATGTATCATTTTTTTCGTTGCTCTAGTCGTATAGCTGAAATTTGTCGATTATCGAGGACGGTTTTTATGAAATGAAAAAAAAGTAATGTAGCATCACTGAAATATAGATCAAAATGAAGAACATTACTCAAGATATAGATAGGTAAATCATAAGAGTGTTTTAAATTGAAATCTTTGTACAAGAAAANAGAAGTAAAAAAGTAGTCTTCCCAAAAATAACAAAAACCGCAAAAATCTCGCCGAAAACTGGGTAGTGAGGTAGAAATCTCCTATGAAAGTCTGTAAAAATTTGGCCTCTTTTTAAAAATTTATATATATTCTGAAAGAGGAAACTTCGCTGCATCTTCCTATGATAAAAACTCGACTTCGATTACTTTACCAAAAAATGGATTTTCTGAGGGGGGGGGCCCTTAAGCTGAACCGCTGAATAGCAATGTGAAATCGATCAAGAATCATTTGTGGTAACGGATAAAAAAAGAAAGAAATTTGGCAGTTGAAACATAAAAGCTTACATCTATTACTAATAAACGTTTCTTTTTTCTATGTATTTAGTACTATCTGTTCGAAATACCTTTGAATTAGAAACATGCTCTGCCACTGAAAATTTCCAATTACTTGTTATTTCCAGAGAGAATCGTAATACATTATACTATTTATGGCATTGGTTACGTTTCTAGAATATGCAACATTCAGAGAAATAATATTATACGCTCAAGTTCTCGACAACTCGATATAAATTCACATTTTGCATCCTCCAATTAAGAAAAAAAAATCTACATAAATGTTAAAAGAAGGTAATACTGGTGTTCGACTTCAAAATCAATTCGTTCATTTCATCACTAATTTAAATCTCTATGGCGACGACACTAACTTGACTCTGGCTGATCAACGCTTATCTACACGCGTTTTCATTGTGTTCCTTATGATCGCTCTCTACGTTGTGCTCTCTTTTACTGGTATCAATCCTCAAACACGTGTCATTACTATTGCTCTGCCTACTCTCAATAATTTTGACCACTTGGTCAAGAGATACAGAGACACACCAATCTGTCGTTGCTCTCAAGTGTTTATTCCTTACGAACGTTTTTTATCCTTCAAACCTGAATTCCATCAAGTTTGCTCGAGTGATTTTATCAGTCAAGAATGGTTTTCTTCTCTGTTTAATGTGAACACAAGCAAATATCATCCTCTCGACTTTCGTCTTATGGCTTCAGCACAATTTCAAGTCTTATCTGTTCTCTGTCAAATGTCAAGCCAACGTGTATTCGATGCTATAGAGGATTTCCTTTCCACATCATTTCTGTCGCTAAATGTTCTCTCACGTCCTGCTTTCGATACTTATACATTCACACTCATTGATCAGTTTATCAAAACTACTCTTGTCAATTTCCTTGCTTATAATCGCTTCGTGTCATCTATAGTAGAAGAATATCAATTTGTGTCTGCACTGCGCACGAATTTCTATACTGTAAGTGTTCCCGGTAGTAACATGTATACAACTTTCCCTGGCATCTATTCGAAGCAAGTCAACTTCAATCAATCGTCATTTATATCAAGTGAAACATGCCGATGTGATATCACAAGTGATTGTGTCTATCCTGCTGGTGTCTATAATCAATCAAATATCATCATTCCAAATGAAGTCTTTTCACTTGATGCATCGCTTCTATTCACTGTACCAGGATTTCAAGTGGGATGTGTACCACAAAATGCTTTGCTTCAATCGACATTGGAATGTTTTTATAATCAATCATGTTTAAATAAGGTCATTTCGTTAACAGGTGCTATTCACACAGTCTCGATAAGGCATAGATCGAACTCTTCTGCACAATTTCATCCAACAACTACTATCGGTATTATTTTTGATAATATGATGCTTGAATCCTGGCAAAACGCGACTAATTTCGATGGCTATTTCCAAGCATGTGCACCTAAAGTTTGTTCGTATTCGTACCAACAACGATTCGTTTTCATTTACATGATCACAGTTTTGATCAGTATCTATGGTGGACTTAGTGTGGTGTTGCGCGTCGCATCTCCCTTGTTTGTTAAATTTATTTTACGTGCATATTGCCAACGGTTTCGAATTCTAGAAACGAATGAAGAACGTGAACCAACCACAAGTAAAGTCGATCTATGTTTTTCGACAAATTTCGTTTTCTTTTTATATTGTTTGTTTGCATAGATCTTCGAAATCGTCTAGTCAACTTAGATAGGCTAATTTATAACCAAGTGATTACCTTTAATATGTTCAAGACGACTTTCACTAATGTTCAACATGGCATTTATTGTACACGCGTCTATATTATCTTGTTGATCATCGGCCTTTGTGTTTTGTTCATTCATTATGTATCAAAAATTCAGTCACAAGAGATCACGATCCGAAATCCAAGTGTCAATCAATTCGAAAAGCTTTATGGATTATATTCATCGATTCTATCATGTCCATGTAGTCGTTCATTGATACCACGCTCAGCATTCATGAACAATCAACTTCGCTTTCATCCGTTTTGTACGAGTGCTTTTGTTCAGGATGATAGTTGGCTTCAATATTGGACGATGATATTTCTCAATGGTACCATCGATTACAGTGCATCATTTGATTGGGCCGATTTTCGCAAGAACGGACAAAGATTTATTAATTATGCCAGAATATATTGTGAATTTGCTATGACAACAGTCACTGACATGTTGAATATATTCCACACGGATCAGTTTTTCTCATATCAACTCATAACCCGAGAAGAATTCAATGAACAATTATATATTTGGAATACTAGTTTATATTTTCAGGTAGAATATGGTATATGGGACGACTTAAAACAAAATATTCTTTTTCCATCATCAACACATTCGAATTAGAAACTCCTCTCTAAATTTACTGGGCTCTTTCCCTTTGTGTAGCGAATATCTTTGTTTATCTAATTCATTTTTGTACAAGTATAGAGGGAAAAAATCAGTAGATTGATATGAAAAGTTAAAAGACGTCTATTTTGACGATACTGAAAGAACTATATTCAATTGTGTTCTTTTACCTAGATTACCACTATGTTTCAACTTAAATGGAATTCTATGGAAGCAAATATTCGAGGGAGTCATATGATTTCATCCAATTCAATTTATTTTGACGTTATCTCCAAACATATGGATGATACATGGGTTCTACGCTTTATTTCAAGTAACATCAGAGGGAAATTTTTTTCATGTTCTTGTGAATGGGGTTATGTTTGTTGGGAATCAGTTGGCTTTTACTGCGATGCATTCTCATGTACACCAGTGAATTTAATATACACTGATATTTTTCCTGGTCTGAGAACTGGCTGTCAAATTTTGGACTACTCCGCTTCTACACTCGAATGTTTTTACAATCAATCATGTGTTCAGATGCTGATCGACAATCGCCTTCATGGCTTTGAAGATGTCTATCAACCACTTGATTTGAGTCATATAACAGCACTTCATCCGAACGAAACGATCTTTTTCGGTTTTCAAGATCCATTTGTAATTTTTCAGTTCTATGCTTTTATTGATCAATGGAATGAGACGGCTGATTATCAATCGTACTTTGCTCAATGTCAACCAAAGATATGTACCTACATGATTGCTCAGAAATTGAAACCGATCGCTATTGCTAACTCAATTTTAGGTCTCATTGGAGGTCTTAGTGTTCTCCTTCGTCTCCTTGTTCCATCATTTACCTATATTATTCATCAAATTCATCTTTTATATCGCCATAAGATACGAGGTAGGAAAATTTATTCTTCGACTGTTTCATTATGTTGATCTATTATTCTAGGTTTACATGAGCTTATAACACTGATCGCCTATGTTCGAGAGGAACTTAATCATATGAATTTTTATCGAGAAAAGCGTGAAGTCGAGTATCAAGTTTTGGCTACGCGAATCTATATTTCTCTACTAGTTCTATCTTTTGTGATCGTCTCATTTTTCACAGGATTCCAGCATCGTACTATATTATTAAGCGTAGAATCACCAAATGAAAATGACTTCGCATCTCTTCATGCTAATTATTATGATAGTTTATCGTGTCCTTGTACAAATGTCAGTATTTGGTATAATGATATTTTACAAGGTTCATATCAATATCATGAAGTCTGTCAGCAATTGGTACAGTTGGGAGCTTTTTCTGCTTTTCGATCGGAAACAACTCTGTCATGGAATGTATCTGATTGGAGGCTCATCCGACCTCAACTTCAAGTTCTCAACTCCCGATGTTCCCTCCTTTTAATAAACCTAGAACAGTTTAATTTAAAACTTCTTAAGAGTAGTATTGTGTCAACGGAAGTTATGAACTTACAAACATTTGATTCTTTGATCAATACGGCAATAACTAGAAAAGTGATACCTGATTTAGCCACAGCAGATCATACTTATGAGTCAATGTCCGATATGCTTCAAGCGAATCAATTTCAAAACCAGTACATGACAAGCTGGACAACAGAATTTTCGAACTTTGATGAAAACTATATTCTTCATTATAGTCGAGTTTCATTGAACGATGGCAATTGTTCTTGTGCAAGTAGCAAATCTAGTTGTACAAAGACGCCTGTCTTTTACGATTCGGACGGTACTTCAATTGTATTTCCAGGTAAGTTTTTTAATCGAGTCCTCTCATAGAATCCTGTCATTTAATAGTGAATATTTGATGTGTCTAAGAATACTTGAAATTAAACGATATTTGAAAAGGACTTAAGATTGTCTCATTCTTTTCATCCATTTAGGTTTTGTCGTTGGATGCTCACTCGTTGACGGTCTTTCTCATTCAACATTAGAGTGTTTCTATGATGATATTTGCGTGGATCGATTAAATATAGCTCTGGGTAGTACTTTTACTAAATTCAATCTTAGTGCAACTCGATTTCCACCGACGATACCCATTAGTTCGATTCTGGACGAACATTTATTAGAATTCTTCAATTATTCAGGCAATTATTCTACTTATTTTCGATTATGTGCTCCATCATTTTGTCAATATCATTATTCACAGCAAAACGATGTTGTCTACATACTTACAGTATTGATTGGATTGTATGGCGGATTGAGTGTGTCCTTACAAATTTTCGTCTGGCAATTTTTACGGCTCTACCGAATGATTATTAGACGATGTCAATATTCATTGCAACGCATATCTCGTTCGTCGCAAAGTCAAATAAATCCCTCAAGACATGGGCTACCTGCTGTTACTTGCAACTGAATGAACCAGTGACGGGAAACGGATCGAATCAATTTCTAGTCAGTAGAACTCGGTTCAGTTCTGCCTTTGCAAGAAGTACTCTTGATTTTCGATGTTGTATGTCTTTGTTTGCTTTCCTCGAGCATAAAACTTGTAAATAGGAATCACTGGCTATGCATAGCTTTTATCCAATATGCTTTGCATACAAAACAGCTGCTATCGTACAATAAAAATACATTCATATTTCATTCTTTTTTTTTCTGCAATATTCATCAACATCAGTCAGAGCTGGAGTGTGCGGTGTTAGTATGGGTGTGCAAATAGAATAGTGACCGTTCCACGACAAACGGACATATGTTTCTGTTTTGTCTGAACGTCATCAGGTGGCATCTCAATTAATTGGTATTATATCTTATTTCGAGTGTTCAAATTCTAGATAACAAATAAAACATTAGAACTAGCCTGATACAATAATCTATTGATTTACTTGTGTACATTAAACCGTCAATAGAATTAACAATATATAATCATCATGAATCTTAATAGAGAGAAAAAATTATATATGCCCGTATCTATTATGCGGGTGTGGGTGTGCGTAAATCAATTGAAAACATATCGACCTATATGCTTATCATACAAATCAATCTGCTGTTCTCAACTCTTGTTGTTCAGCAATCGATCAAGTCAAACAATAGAATTATAATAAATAAATGTGCTTAAATTAACATAATGAAAAAAGTTTGTTAGCGCAGCTGATTTGAGACTGAAATGTGGAACTCACATAATCCGAATAAACTAGCACATAATTTACTATACATTTTTTATGTAATTAAGTATACTTTAAAGTTTGAAAAAAACCAACAGAAACAATAAGGGTTTACAGATTAAAGCATTCATTTGATTATTTATAGTGATCAAGATTAATGAGAAAATATCAAGTTGTGGTTGTTTTTGGATTATTTTTTATATCACTAAATTGTTATGATGTCTTTAAGGTTTAAAACTATTATCCGTTTCAAAATATAGTGCGCCTCCACTGTTTTTTTAATAACTCAAGAATGCAACCAACTAGAGATCTGCGGGTTTTAGCCAATCGAAAGAAGAGACAGGAGGATGTATTTTTCTCCAATATTGTATCGGACCAAATCATTTTGGAATCAGTCATTTCTGCAAAACATTGCAAAAAATGCATGAAAACGATCTGTTATTCCGAAGAAATTTTCCTTTGGAGATGTGATCTAGATGGAGGGATTTCGGTTCTATAGTTCATAATATAATTCGAATGATTATCTTACCGCATCCTAATGTTCAGCAAATAAAATTGCCTCCTTACTCGCACGAAACCTGGATCTCTTTTAATTTTTAAGCAAATTTTCTCACTTTTTGTCAAGATTACATCTGAATGACAGACCATTTTTTCGCTGTTCTGCAGAAATGACTGGCTTTAAAATGATTTCATCTGATACAATATTTGAAAAAAAGACGTCCCCCTGTCTCTTCTTTCGATTGGTGAAAACCACAGGTCTCTAGCTGATGTCGTTCTTGAGTTATTCAAAAAATAGTGGAGGGCAGTGTATTTTTACATGGATATTAGATACAACGTTGATTAGTTTATAATAGAGAACTTGTTTTCTTTTACATCAAAAACAATACTATTGTCTATATGATATTATAAAAAGAATATATGACAATGTTTAAAATATCAAAAGTAAAAAATGGTTTTAAATAATATTTATGAGGAAATAAAATAGATGTAGATAGATATTTTAGTGCTGAATACATATAAGAACAAAAAAAATCGACACAACAAGATATGTACGTGTATATAAAGGTAAAAAAAAATTGTTATATAAACTTGTCAGCTAGTGGGAGTTACAAATGAAAAAAAAATTGTTAAACAATGCAATGGAATGTAAGGATTTAATTTATTCTTGCATTTCTATCAAATTGAGAAAATGAGTCATGACTAGTTTGTATATATTATTGATGATTTCTTAATGATGATTTATTTTGTTTGTACTCTATTGAGATGTCAATAATGTTTGGTAATATATGTACAGTGTTTTTATACATTAAAAATGGTTTTGATGTATATGCTGATTATGTGTTTTTGCCACACAGAAAATAAGGCAGAGCTATTTTAGATCATTTTTATATCACTTAATAGGAGACAATTTTATGTTCAGTTTTTTTTTTGTATGAATAACTCACAAATAATTTGATTATGTGGTTACTCCAATATCTAATGATTTTTTAATTGTTCATTTACGATCTGAATTGTAATCAGGTTTCATAGAAAATTGTGTTGTGTACCGTTTAATTTGTTCTTAATAAAAATTTCTAATTGGAATTGGCGTTAACAAGGGTGTGGATGTGTGAGTGTTTATGTTTGAGCAGGATATCCACACCCGCACCCACACCACGAACTGTACAATCTGTCAGATTGGTCTTTAATGTTAAAATTCCGTCCATCAGTTTCATACGAATTGCATCAAGAAATAAATAAGATTCGTTTTAGTAGTGATGGGACACGTCTGCATCTTATGCTAAGTGAATACGGTAACAATTGCTGGTTTGAACTGCATCGGTCAGACAACATGAAGCTACTAAAAACAGTTCCTTTCATTGATAAAAATTATCATAATCTACTTCCGTTACCAAAAGAAGAGTTTCTTATTGTACCATGGGATAACAAAAGACTTTATTTAGTTGATTTCAATGGTAAACTTAAGCAAACTATTGAGTACAAAATGGAAAACATCATGTATGCCACATTGTTAAATAACAGATGCATCATTATAGAAGTAATGAAAAAAAATTCGAGTAAAGAACAACTTCGATTCCACAATCTATAAATTTACTTCATCGCTCAGCAATTATAAGAATTCATATGAAAAAGGATTTGAGTTTTTATTTGCTAAATATGATAAAAATTGGCAATTAAAACCGAAAAATAAACGACATACAGATGATTATAAGAAAAAAATGTGAGTGTCGTACAGGCATGGATTTTTATTTTCATTTGACCTATAGCTACACTTCACAGTCACACTAACAACTATCCCAATGGCATATCATTGGAAATAACAGGTTTTGTTTTTTGAATTTACTAATTAGTTTATTAATGTTCAAATATGTTCGGTTAAAAGGTTCCATATTTGTTATTCTTGATTGTATTCTCCGCGAAAAGACGTGTTCATGTTTACTCCATTTGATTCTCAATTAGAAAAACAGCGATAAAACAGAGGTAGTATCAATATTTTAGATTGTGTTCGAGACACAGACCTCATTGACCCGAGTTTTCTTGATTCTAATTCGGTTCGATGTGTTTGTTGATTGTTCCAACGCATTACAATACTTCAAAAACCATTTTTTCATATGCGTTAGTCTATATTCACTTGATATTCAAAAATTAGTTTAGTTTCAGTTCAGGGCAACATCGTTTTTTAAGAAGCGATGCAAATTCGGTTTGATTTTAATTACCGATTCGAGATAGACCATGACAATTAGTACATATAAAGAAAAGGTTTTTCTTGTTATTTTGATGTCAATTCCATTTTTACACTATTTATGCGCTGGTTTCATCTGT